AGGAAAGGCAGAAAAACAAAAGCACTGAGCCCAGGTTGGTTCAGGCACACACGGGTTTCTGGGAAACCAGGAAACAAGGTTTGCTTCACCCTGAAAGGGCTGACAGCCAGCATTTTTCTTGGACTTGAGTTCTTAAAGATGTAAATGTTTCCTATTCCCAGATTTTGGCTTGCAGCTCAATAAACAGTCCTTAACAGAGACCGGCTTGATAAGGACTTAGGAAATGCATGGAGAATTAAGTTTCAGCAAACCCTTCGAGCAGTCTTTTCCTCCACGGCAGAAGTGTGGGTGCGAGCTGATCTGTAGGATGAGCCTGTAGGGGAGCCCATGAGGGCTGGGGGATGCGATGGGTTAGGGAGTGATTTCCAGACTCCTCTGGGAGACTGGACAGTATTTGTGTTTCTGAGTCTGGCTTGTGTCTTGGGGATGCAACACCCTCCATACAACCATATTGTCCTAAATGGCAGGATTTTTTTTCATCTCTATGGCTGAATAATATTCCTCTGTGTGTGTGTTTTCAGATACACAGGTAAAAGGTGAATTCCTGCATCCTGTGATGGTTCTAGATTTGAAGGAACCATTCTTTAGTTGGTTGCCATAGTGACTATATTACCTGTCAAAGCCCCTGACAGTATGAAACAGTTCTCCTTTTCCTGCATCTTCACTAACACCTTTTTTAAAAAAGTCATTGGAATGAGTGAAATTTTAAGGTGGTTTTGATTTGCATTTCCCTGAAGCCGCTGTTGTCAACCATGTTTTCACGTCTGTCACTCTCTCTGTCTTCTGTACTGTCCCCTAGAAAGTGCCTTCTTTCTAGGAATGTTAAGTCTTTCATCCACGTACACGGTGCGGGATCGGTGTACTGGATGGTTTCATGTCTACTTGACATAAGCTAAAATCATCTCAGAGGAGGGAACCTCAATTAAGAAAATGCCTCCAGAAGATCAGGCTGTAGGGAAGCCTTCAGGGCATTATCTTAATTAACAATTGATGGAGGAGGGCCCAGCCCTTTGTGGGTGGTGCCATCTCTGGGCTGGAGGTCCTAGGCTCTGTAAGAAAGCGGTGCCTTTAATCCCAGCACTTGGGAGGCAGAGGCAGGAGGATATCAGTGAGTTCAAGGCCAGCCTGGTCTTGTAAATTCAAGGCCAGTAAGCTCCAGGACAGTCAAAGCTAATTTAGAAGAGAAGCCCTGTCTTGAGAGGGAACAAAGAAAGGGAAGAAAGGAAAGAAGGAAGGAAGGAAGGAAGCAGGCTGAGCAAGCCATGAAGTCATGAGTGACAAGCCAGTAAGCAGAATTCCCGCATGGCTTCTGCACCAATCATCTCCTGCCTCCAAGTTCCTGCCCTGTTCCTTTCTTGCCTTGGGTCATTGATGGACTACTATGTGGAAGTTTAAGCCACATAAAGTCTTTCCTCTCTAGCTTGCTTTTTGGTCAATCTTTCATCGCAGCCAAAGAAACCCTAACTAAAACAATGGGTCTGGTTCTTCTCTCCTGCCAAGTCTTCCCAGCACCGACTGAACGGCTCTCCCGTCACCACCGTGAGTCCTTGGCATCCTTGCCAGGGGGTTTTCTGTAAGTTCCAGGACCACACGGGAGTCACTTGACATTTGAGGAATTATTTATACATCTATCCTGTTCCTGTTAACTTGCAGCTTCTTTCAGGGTAGTTCTGGCCACATCTGTCACTCACACCCTCAACAGAATCCCATCACAGAGCCCGAGGAGAGCAGGAGCCATAAAACAATGCCACTGGTTTCTTATTCTCCAAGGGGAGTTGTCTTGGAGACAAAACAACTGTAGTCATTGGTGCTAGATAAAGTTAATGAGGATTCCGGTGCCTTTGGCTGACCCAAACAGGTTCTAGTCCTTATCTACTCTCCATCACATTATTAACTCCATGACACAAAGGAGCAATAAAAGCAGGCCGCTCCACAGAGAAGACCCTCATCATATATGCTTAAAAGAAGGTTGAAAAAAGTTAATATAAGCATTTTTTTTTCCTCTCCCTCCCCTCCTTCCTTCCTAAGAGGTCTTAGTAGTACTTGAGATTCTCAGGACAAAGCAATGCCACTGACAGCATCTGGACATCTTTGAGTCCTCTGTTAGGGCAACACCCCTCGCCCTGGGGTGGTCAGCAGCAACACCACAGTCAGCAGGGGGTGATTCAGGAGCAAGCACACAGCAGGGCTGACAGTATGGTGGGCTTGGCTCAAGTCCTCCAGGGCGGCCATGCCAGAGGAGAGCAAAGAGGAGCTGACTCCCCGCTGGTGGGGAAAGGAAGGATTATCAGCAAGTTTCAGGCTTCCCCCCCCCCCCACTAATTCTGAGAATCTTTGTCCTTGAGGGTTTAGAACAGTCAAATGACCAGCCACCTGCGGACTGTGGACTCCTCTGTGACAATGACAACTTGAGCATTTCTGCACTTAGCACATCCATGTGACACTGACTTTGAATGTGACTCTAGGGCGCCCTGAGGCTTCGTTCACACTTACTTCACTGTATGGTCAGCAGAGCTTCTTCAGACACAGACTTCTGACAGAGCCAATACTGGGAGCATTAATCTCTCTTTGACTGGGGTCGCCAACCACCCAAATGCTAACGTTACCTTACCACTGTGAGACGTTCTGTTGTCTGAATAAGGTGAGGCCCTAAAGTGAAAGTTTTCACTAAATGGGATAGGATCCCCCAGGGACAGAGGTAAGTTTGAGGCCGGGAACTTGCAACCAGAAACTGAGTCCCCTTGACTTCGGAAGCAAGTTTGGGAGGTTGGCCCTAAATGCAGCTTTCCAGACGCGGCTGGGAAACCTGACTCAAATGCTCCACTCTGGATGACCCAATGTTGGCTAGCTTCCAGGCAAATGGGGTACTCTTGTCGCATAATATGTTGGCTAGGTGTGGTGGCACATGCCTGTAATCACAGCACGTAGGAGGCCGAGGCAGGAGGATCGTGAGATTTGAAACTTGCCTGGGTTACACAGCAAAATCTTGCCCACCCCTTCCCTGAAAAGGGATTATTTCTTATCTCATTAAACCTTAAATTTCTGAATTCTCCCCTACCCAGTATTTAACTTCAAAAGGTTACTATCAATGGCCCGGAGCCTAGCTCGGTAGTCGGGCTCATAATTACTTAGCATGTACACGGTTCCGGGTCCAGTTCACTACACACACAGACACAGACACCACACACACACAGACACACACACACACACACACAGACACACACACACGTTAATAATCGTTTTGCTTTTCTTCCAAAGAATCACTTGGCAAACATATCAGCCCATAAAAATCAGGTTTAGACTGGTAGACGGTTTGTGAGTTAATGTCCCATTCTAAGACACGGTAGGAATTCAACGGGTGTTGTTAGTGGTGACACTGAGCCGTGGAAAGTAAGACCTTAGACACTGTGTGCCTGAAAGTTGTCTGACTGGCCTAGACCTGAATTAGACAACTGATAACACCACAACAATAGGACTTAAGTCAGTAAAAGGTAACTGAGATTAAACAACACCCCCAACACACACACACACACACACACACACACACATACACTCATACACTAGCATTTGAGTGAGACACAACCTCCTTAGTCTCGGGCTTTTGAAAACATGGTGTTCCCTGCTCCCAGTTGGTGGTGGTGGGGAGGTTTAGGAGGTAAGGCTTTGCTGAAGAAAGTGTGTCACCGGGAGCAAAATGAAGAGATTAAATGCCTCTTGCCATTTCTAGTTTGATTTCTCTGCTTGTGGTTCAAGATAGGAACTCTTAGCTTGCCACTTCCATTGCCAGGCCTGTCTCTTGTTGACATGCTTCCGCCATAATTAACCTTCTCTCCTCTCAGGAACCATAAAGCCAAATAAACTCTATCTTCTGTTTTGTTTTGTTTCATTGAGACAGGGTTTCTCTGTGTAGACTTGGCTGTCCTGGAACTTGCTCTGTAGAGATTGGCCTCGAACTCACAGAGATCTATCCTGAGTGCTGGGATTAAAGGCGTATGCCACACCATGCCTGGCTTCAACTCTGTTTTTTTTTTTTTAAACATTTATTTATTTATTATGTATACAATATTCTGTCTGTATGCCTGCAGGCCAAAAGAGGGCGCCAGACCTCTTTACAGATGGTTGTGAGCCACCATGTGGTTGCTGGGAATTGAACTCAGGACCTTTGGAAGAGCAGGCAATGCTCTTAACCGCTGAGCCATCTCTCCAGCCCCCAACTCTGTTTTCTTTACACTGCTTGGTTTTGTTTTTATCACAGCAATAGAAAAGTAACCAATACACCCAACTAGCTAAAGCCTGTCTTGTGTATCTTAAAGTTATATAAAACCCTTTAACATTTTAACACAGGAATACATTTTATGTGAAGTCCTTAAAAATAATAGCAAGGCTGACAGGAGAAATCTGTCCATGCATCCACATATTGAAGGCAAAATTACTTGGAGATCATTGTGTGTTTTTATCCCTTGCTGAAGGCTGGAAAGCTACCAGGATTATCTAGAGGCTTACTTCATTCTAATAGAACGGAAGATTCTGAACTGATGTCAGTTCTTTGTGTAAACATTTAGTCTCAAGATGTAAAGCAATCTTTACTCAAAAATAACTTTGTCCTGCTAAATATTTTGACTGGGAGGCAACAGATCTGGAATGGAGAACACAGTTCTTTTTCTCAATGAATGTAGCTTTATACTGAATGCCATTTCTCTATTCTTGGGAAATCAGTTGTTTGTCCAGAGGAAGTGGATTCTGGGGCCCGGTATCAGAAGTGATCTTCAGGAAGGCACCCCTGCACAGGGTGGGCGGTGTCAGGAGTAGGTGAGGTACACTTACTTCTCTGAACCTACAATCAGCTTGGCATCCAGGGCGGTTCTCTAAATATGTTGACTGACAAAAACCAGAATACATTTTATCTGCCACTCCACCCACCCACGCCTTCTATAAGATGTTCCATTCTACAAACAAGTCTTTTCGTCTTTATGAGAGCAGCAAGTCTGAGTGGAGCCTACTCCTGTGAGAAATAAGAGCGGGGAGAGGACAGCCGAAGAATGTTTCCCAATGATTGGGTACCTGCCAGGACCCGGCCTGCTGATCTGAGCCTGTGCCAAGGGTGATAGGCACAGGCGGCTGCTTACGGTGGGAGAAACAGAAGCTCTGTGGTGAGGAGCCCATTTTTTCCTTTCGCCCCCTCCCCATCTCATGGTGGAACAAGAGAGGCTGGCTCCTTATCACCACCAACTAGCTGGAAGGGTGGCCCTGGCTCTGCCCGCCAGGCTGGCTTCCAGGAGAAACAGAGCTCAGCTTCAGGGTCCCCACTTCTTTGAACAGAGATAAAAGATAATTATTTCTCAGACAAAGCGGATATACCCACACGAATAAGAGCTGACATTTTTGAGAAAATGAAGGAAATGAAAGCCAGGACACTAGACGCTGGTCATGCCTTGTTCTTTCCCCTCTAGTCTCTGGATTCCGTTTATCTTCAGGAGACAAAAGAAATGTCTGGATTGGAACACTAAATTTCAAGTGTTAGCTGTAGATTATAAACTTGGTAAGAGAATGGGGACAGTCCTTAGAGATGGCTTAAATGGATCGTAAATTCTTTGCTATGAAGTGTTAGGAATGCCACGTGCTAATCCAAGAGGAAGGCTTAAGGCCAAGCAGGGAGACTGCCTTGCTCTTTTGCTCTTTTCCAGGACTAGAGGCAAACGGATGTAAAGCAAATTCGCCGTACAACAGACTGAGGCCCTTGAGGAGCAGGCTGCAGACTCAGCAGGGATGAGGCAGAACCTGCTGCTTCTTACTCCAGGGTACTGAATTTGTGGTTCAGTCAGTATAATTATTACGTCAGTTAATATTGACTGCTTCTGCACAAGGAACCTAATAAACGGGGAGGGATGAATGGATGGGTGGATGGATGGAGACATGGGTGGATGGGTATATCATGGGTAGATGGATAAATACATGGGTGAATGGATACATGATGGATGGATACATGTGTGGTTGGGTGGGTGGATGGACAGGTGGATAGGCTTTTAAAAATTCCCACAGTGAAATTTAATATCAAGTAAATATAGAGTATTCCTTTACAGAACATGGAGCTAAGTCACGTATAGATTAAATGTCAGCTTTGAGAAGTGCCGAAAGTTTCGTAAATTAAAAATCTGAGATACAGCCTGATAGTAGCTTACATTTTAATGTCTACTTTAACAATCTGCACATAACCCACCACGGTTAATCAAGTTGCTCCAGACGTGAGTTAACATCAGCTACGGTCAAAGAAATCACAGACTTATTACCAAAGGTGGCTTTACCTGAATCCTCGCAGATTTTCCTTAAAATGGGAGTGTTCTAGGGATTGGGTAAAAACTCAAAGTCTAGTACCCATAGCTGGGCATGTTGGCTCCTGCCTGTAATCCCAGTACTCAGAAGGTGAGGGCAAGAGGCTTAGGGTTCAAGTCCAGCCTTGGCTACATAATAAGACTGAGCCAGTCTGAGCTGCGTGAGAGCCTGGCTCAAGGAGGGAAAAACGTTATTAACCCGAACAAGTTCTAAGTTCACCTAAACCTGAAAAATTCACCTTATTACCTAATACACGCCAGCGTTAAACATTTCTTTGAGTGTCAATCAGGGTGTGGCGCTTCACTGTTGCTAGGTGGGGAGGGAACTCTGGAGTCAGGCCTACAAAGGAGTCCCTGCTGGTCTTCAACATGAGCTTTTCTCTTTGGGCTGTTCTGCCTGACCAGGCTTGTCTAAAGCAACCAATGGCATCCACTCAGGTAGGGAACATGTATGTTAGTTGGTCTCCCCTTCTGATCTTGGCATACCAAGGAATAGCAGCTGGCCCACATTTCCTGGAACCAGAAGCTGTGTTCCCTAATTCCCCTTCCCTTCCGTGTGTGTGTGTGTGTGTGTGTGTGTGTGTGTGTGTGTGTGTTTTAGTCAGTCAGGTACCAGATGGTGTCCCCTCTGCCACTATTTTCTGTCTTTAGATAAAGAAAATAGGTAAAATCTGTTCCCGGTGACAGAGGCCTAATGTGGTATGCTGACCTGACCTGTATCCAGAAGCTGATATTAAAACTGCACCCAACGCAAAAAACCAGCCAGAAGAGTAAGTGACTAAGAACTAAAAATTAGCCAACTGTTTCCCTAGAGCAGGGCTTCTCAAAACTTCTTCCAATAGCAACAAGGTTTGCCTGAGAAATATTTACACAACTCCAAGGATATAAAAAACAATTGTGCAAATCAATACTGATAATAAATTGGAAAACGTATTTTTTAAACAATCTTTTGGCATATATGTATTACTTATATTGATTAAGACAAAGACAAATTTGCACGCCAATAAGGTAGATGTATGTGTTTGCTCTTCACGAAGAATTGGATGGTGGCTGAGAATATTTGACACCGCAGAGCACAGAGCGTCCAACAGTTTTCAGAGTTTACTGATACCTTGATTTTACGATTTTCAGTGGTAAGAAGAGCGCTAGGCAAAAATACAGACCCAAATGGCAGAAGTATGCTGAAGATCACTTCAGAAGCTGCTCGTGGTTCTGTTCAAACCCCAGGCCAAAATCACTTGGCGATTTTTTAGGGCAATCCTATCAGCGGTTAAATGCAAGCCTTTGAATGCAACAGGCAGACAGGATAAGGAATGCTGAGGAACGACGGTGAGACTATAGTAAATCCTTGTTTTCCACAATGTGTGCGTCTATAAGAGCAGAAAATTCTGTGTGTGTAGTAAAAACATTGCAATACATAATATACAAGGCTCTTGACTCTAAGTCCAGGTGTTCGGGTGGCGGCATTCACTGGCACCGTGTGGCAGGACACCACGGACATGCGGATGCATGCCATGTGTTCTGAACCAAGGCTGCAGAGAAGCCGTGTGCTGACAGCAACATTTTAGGTTTGTTGACATTCGATTTTGAAATAATTTTTGATTGGTGCATGCTCAGAAATCTCTTATTGTTGTCGAATATTGTATGACCTCTGCATTCAGTTATGTGACCTCATCTACGGTTACAGGTCACATTTTAAAAACTGTGTCCCCCCCAGGAGGTGTGCTATGGGTCCAGCCCTGTGTCAAACACCATGAGAACAAACAGGAATCCTAAGCTCGAGTCTTTGAGCTCAGGAGCTTCTTAAGACTAGCCACTGTGAAGACAGAGAGTGTTACAGCTGAAGTCTAAAATGACACACCACAGGCCCCTGATTTGAATGGTGGGTCCTCGACAGGAGGCTCTATGGATTGGCGGGGAGAACCAGGCACCAGGAGGGACATTTGACAGCCATAATCCAGTCCCAGCACTACTAACCTGGTCACCTCACACTCGTGAATGGTTGATGTGGGATTCCCTCTGTATGCTGTGAATATGTTTTATTACCATTGGCTAATAAAGAAGCTGCTTCGGTCTATGGCAGGGCAGAATAAAGCAAGGCGGGAGCAGACATATAGAGAAAGAGTAGGCAGAGTCAAGGAGACGCCATGTGGCTGCCTAAGGAGAAGGACATGGCTGGAAACTTACCGGTAAGCCATAGCCTCGTGGCGATACACAGATTAATAGAAATAGGTTAATTTAAGATGTAAGAGTTACTAAATAAGAAGCCTGAGCTAATAGGCCTAGCAGTGTTGTAATTAACATAGTTTCTGTGTGATTATTTGGGCCTGGGTGGCTGGGAAAAGAATGTGCAGCCTCCACTTACAAACAGCCACCTCACACTTGTGAAAAGCCACCTCATAGTCTCCCCACCTCACACTCACAAACAGCCACCTCACACTTATGAACAGCCACCTCACACTCTCACCACCTCACACTTGTGAACAGCCGCTTCACACTCTTACCACCATGAATGGAGCTGACGTCACTGCCAGGTCTCCCCTGCCATGAGCGGCCAAAAACTCTTGGAAACCATGAGAAAATAAACCTTTCTGCCTTGTGAATTCCTTTTCCTCGAGTATTTTTTTTTTAAACTTCACAATGATTTTCTTTTTTTAAATATTTATTTATTTATTATGTATACAATATTCTTTATGCGTATATGCCTGAAGGCCAGAAGAGGGCACCAGACCACATTACAGATGGTTGTGAGCCACCATGTGGTTGCTGGGAATTGAACTCAGGACCTTTGGAAGAGCAGGCAATGCTCTTAAGCTCTGAGCCATCTCTCCAGCCCTTCCTCGAGTATTTTGTCACAATGAGAAAAGTGAATAACACAGCAAAAGAAGCAATAGGATGACATTCTTCTCTTCAGTAACACAATTCAAGAAAGAACAGCTGCCAGGAGTGAATGGCCAGGTGAAGGCCATTACTAGGTCATTAAGTTCAAGGCCAACCTGGGCTACTTAGTAAGACCCTGTTTCAAAAAAAAAAAAAAAGGAAAAGAAAGAATGGTATTTGTATCATGCAACCACCTCAGGCAAGGCGCCTCCCACCGGATGAAACGTGGGGGGATGGGGACCCTAAAAGGGGGAAACCTATGGCACCAGGTAGATTGACGGCAAAGCCTGCCACTCCTCCCCAGTGTGTCTGAGACAATCTCAACAAAAATGACTCTTTACAGATCTCAGGAAGCTGGTGCTAAAATTCACACAATGAAAACTAACAGCCCCCACATCCAAAAGGCGCTGTTTAATAAAATGAGATGGTAGTGGGTGGAGAAGAAGCCACTTTGGCATGGGTGTCTACTCAGTAGCGGGCAGGAGAGTGAGAGATGGGCGTGGTGAGGATAAATATTCACAGAGAAATGAAAAGAAATCAGGTACAACTTTATACCAAGTAAAAGCCTGTTTACACTGAACCAACCAGACTCAAAATAAATGCTGATAAGGAGAGGAAGGTGAGGGGCCAGGATTCACTCTACTCTCTCTCTCTCTCTCCCTCCTTTCTTCCCTCCCTCCCACCTCGCTCTCTGTGCACATGCACACAAACACACACGCTCCTGTTCTCTCTCTCATGCAGAGTTCAGAGAATGACTTGCAGACAGTATTTTCTCTACTAGCACCATGTGAGCTCTAGGGTTTGAACTCAAACCATCAGGCTTGGCAGCAAGTGTCTCCACCTGCTGAGCCATCTCATCAGCCCTGAATATACATGTCTTTAGAAGACTATGCCCACGGAGTCACACACAGACACAGACACAGACACACACGCGCACACACACACACACACACACACACACACAAAATTATGTCAGGTATTTAGTGGCAGTAGCCAGGGATGCAGAGTAACCTGCAAACCTACAGGACAGCCCCCATGCAGCAAGGCCCTCATGTAAAAGGCCCTCAGCAAACTGCCACTAGGGATAGGACAAAGGTGGCCAGGTCTTCTAGGAAATCTCTCCTCAAAGACAGAAGTGGGGTTATCAACCTTACATAAATAGAGAAAGCGCCTCATTTTCTGAGAGGTCTAAAATGTGTTTCCACTCATAAAATACATTTTCACATCTTGTTGATACAACATTAATTATAATAGTATTATCATTATTCCAAATGACTGTCATCACTCTTGCCCTGGTCTGAAAAAGAGAAAGCAGCAAGGGACATGACTAGGGACCTGGTAGCCTTAGCCCGGAGCGAGTGCAGCACACTGCGGACAGCTGCCCCAGGTGAAAAGACCTCGCTACCCCCAATAGCAACTCGCCACCACTCTCCACCTCCCAGGCTCCTGTGAAAGGAATGCGCAAAAGCCCTCTCTCAAGTACAGTGTAGGTTAAATCGTTTCCTGCCTTAAAAAAAAAAAAAAAGGTATTTTAGTCATGATGCAATTGAATTCTCCAAAAAGCTGCTAATACTGCCATCTAGTGAACAGTGCCCGAGGCAAGGATCATCTCTAAAGTAACTCCAGAAGCTAAGTCCCCTCTTCTTTAATCTTTTTGACGTGTTCCGTGCAGAACATTGAGGAAACAATAGAAAGCTGCCAGACTGTGGACTGTTACATGTAAGAATCAGTCAAACTTCAGAAACAAGCATAGTGTAGCGCTTGTATATGCTTTTGTTCAGCTGCGGACAAAGGCAGGTTAGACGGGTGAAAAATAAACCCTCTTTTGCAACCCAGAACTCATTGTAGGAATTTTGATATATACAAGAAGGAACAGAGGGAGGGAGGGAGGGAGGGAGGGAGGGAGGGAGGGAGGGAAAGAATAGCAGGGCCCACAAATTCTAGATTCCCATAAGGCAGAGGAGCTCTGTCCACCTCCAGCCCTGACTGCTGCACAACTGTCCTCACTGAGTGCATGGCCGGTGGTCAGGTCCATTGCTCCCATGTGGTGACCCCCTGTGGTTTTCCTGAGTTAGAGCCCATATAACCTCAAGGGCCCGCTAACTGCACGGAGTTAACTCGGCCCAATTCCTTGTTTCCATGGCTGTGAGGGGACAGGCAATCAGAGCAGCGGCCTGGCCCAGCGTGTCCCCAAGCCATCACATGCTCTTCCTCTTTCCGCTGTCTCAGTAGCTTCATCTACGGCTTTTGTCGCTCATTTTATATGCTCTTTTAAGCCGACATAAAATTTTCTCACACCAAGATTGGTGTATAAATTAGAGCCATCAGGATTGCTTGCCATATACATGATATCTGCCTGAGGTCCTTACTGTGCTCATAAGCTCATCCTGACAAACATCAGACAATGGGGATTCCTGATCTTTGGGGTCTCCTCCAACTTATACACTCCCTACTAGGAGACACACTCAAAATATCTGGGTGCTGAAGAGAGAACGGAAACATCGCTCGGAAGCTAAACTATCAAAGAGGCCTCAGGAAGTGAGAATGGTGTCATCCGGAGGCCAGGCCTCGGCACTTCTGACGTACTCCTGCACAAGATAGGCCATGTTATTCAAAGGTGACACAAAACCTAGCTTGTCTGGAATTAGCCTCCATGCAGGGAACACAAACAAAGATACCTGGCCCACACCGGACCAGGTGTTGCATAAGGCCACATCAGAAAGAACGGCAGATAGATGGTCTCATGGTTTTTATTCCAAATTTAACCATCATCTGAGGCCTCTGTTTTTTCCTACCAATGTTCTAGTTGCAGGATAGAGTCCTGGAAACAAAGTCTAGCCATGTAGTTTTAGAAATGAGAAACCATGGCTCAGAGGGAGTGAAGAATTTGGCCCAGAGAGCTGGCCTTGGTTCAGTGACAATCTCTGTGACTTGTCCAAGATTCCTTAGACTGCTGTTTGTAGTACAAAGTTGTGGTCTAAGCCTATGTTAGTGAACAGAACTTTGGGGCCAATAACATGACATCTTTAAAGGTCAAAAACCCAGTATTCACA